GCTGTACACCAGAAATTAATACAACATCGTAAACTGACTCTACTTCAATAAAAAAAGAAGGTAATGCAAGTTCTGTGTTCACATCTTAGGTGTGTTTATCTTAAATAACATTTGTTAAAATGTAAGATAAGTTTCTTAAAAAATAAATGTAAGTTGTAATAAGCCCACATTTATCAATGCTGTTGAGACAATCTTGAGGTAATTCTTCATGAGGCAGTTTAAATTCCAGCCAAGAATTTTTACCTGAGCTGTCAGGTAAGACAGAGCCCCAGGTGGATGGAACCGGATGTGCTGGTTCTGTACAAAAGAAGACCCCAAAATCTTGGCAGCCATCTTCAGATTTGGCATGTTGTGAGGTGCAGAGCAGAGACGCAGGGAGAACATGTTTTGTTTGGCTCAGGTTTGGATTTCACCAAGGTTGCTGTTTCACAGCATACTGGAGAGTGACCATTTACCTTCTCTGCCTTGAGACAGCACAGAGCAGAGCAGACGAGAGGTGGTAGATTGGCCTTTAAGAAGGACTCTTAACCCAGGAAGGCAGGGGGAGGCTGCTGGTGGTCACGTTGGTGTCATTATCTTGGGGCAAGTGCCGACTCAGAGCTTGGAACCCTAAGTAAATGGTTGCAGAACTGAGCCCAAGGATTAGTCTTGCACAGACAAAGTGGTACACCTGCTCCCCCTCTGCTATTACCTTGGAGAGGAAATAGACGCCCTGTTTCTCTAAGGGTGTCATACTACACAGAAGGATGATGGGATATTGTGTTGTGCTGGCATGTGTTTATCTTGGTGAGGCCTGTGGGCAAGGGTCAAGGAGGGGCTTCTAATGTAGAGGATAAGTTCTTTCCCACTGAAGCAGAGGTTTCCAGTATGGAGACTGGTATGGGAAAGGTGAGATTTGGACACCTCAATCCAAATCTGAGAGATTCGAATAATTTGCTATTAATGGTAGGGCTCAGGTGGGAAAAGAGTGGGACTCTTCCATGATTTGTGTTTGTCTTTCCTTTTTTAAAGTGTACTTGTGTTTGTTAAAAAGAATTAGAGGAATATGTTAAGGACCACGAATCTCCACTTTCATCCTGTTGTCTTACAACCAAAATGTTTGTCGATCATTTTATTAATTTAAAAAATTACTTCAATTTTTGCCTGGAATATGGTTTTGCCAAGTGCGTGTGAATGTGTGTCTTCTCTTTCCTGACTGGGATCAGCTGCTGATGGAAAGACTTCGGGTTAGGAAGGGCAGCTGCTCAGCCTCTTCTGCCTTCTCTGCACTTATTTAGAAGAGCAAATTTGGGCAGGAGCAGAGGAGAAGGAGGAGGACAGGTCTGCCTTGACTTTGGTCCTCTCTGCTTTGGTAGGTGTCTAAAGTTGGCTTCTTCTATTGTGAGCACTTTGTTGGAATTTTCTGAGACACTGTCTCCTCCTTCCCCCAGTACCTTCGGATCCCTGCCTGCAGTTCCTCTGAGATGTGGTACCCACAGTCCTCTGACTTGGTAAAATTGCTCTCTCCTAGGCTCTTGGACACCTAGGCGTACTCCCGGCTTCTCCCTGTTTATGTCTACTCACCCCTCAGCAGCGATCTTGGTGGGTTCCTAAGACCACCCTATGCTGGTTCTCTTGCATGTGGCCCACATCTGGTTCACGGGAAATCTTCACGTGAACTTTGCTAAACAAGCTCTCAAAGTTCTGGGAGCCAGTGCAGCAACACCTACTCTGCTCACACAGGCCCCTGCAGCTGATCTGTCAGCCCTTTAGTTTCTCAGGTGTGAATTAGACACCAGCCAACTGCAGGAGACACATACTGAACTCTTCAGCTGGTGTCCCTACAATTTCTTCCTCTCGATTTGGGGTTAGCAGATGGAAGCCCTCGTCCCTTCTCTTTGCTGGTGGAGCAGAGTGAGAGGTGGGATCGCAGCATAGATTTCTCAAAGAAATCTTTAAAAAGTCCTTATACTATCTAAGCCTCCAGCTCCAAGATGCCTTTTATACCTTGGTGTGTGTAAGGAGTTTAAAACTTGTGAATTAAACTAACACGAAGCCTGCCCTCATGGTTCTTATAATCTAGGGCAACAAACAGTAAACACGTATGTAATCAAATTAAAAGTAGTTAAACATTGAGTCAAGGGGGTAGATAACCCCTGTCGGGGGAAGTTCTCTGTGCTGAGGGTCTATGCTGAGACCCGACTGCTGAGAGGAAGTCAGTTATATGAAAGGGGAGAGTTATAGGACATAAAACACAGATAGTGGGGCCAGCATAGGTAAAGGTGCTGGAGCAGGAAATGAAAAAAGGCTTTTACACCTGGAGAACAATAGCAAGGGAGAAAGCAGAATGGGCCAGTGTTGAAAAAGGCAGATTTGTAGATTGTGGTAACGAATCTGATATAAGAACCCTGAAAGACTGAAAATAAAGTATAAAATAAGATCTAACACGTGACACTAATTAAAAGAAAATTGGTGAATCTGTGCTAATATCAAAAAAAGTAGAAACTTGAGGAAAGAAGCTTGATCAGAAAATACAATTTATCAGAACTTGGAGGATGTACATCCTTATAGGGAAGTTCATAGCCCTTAACGTGCATATTAGATAAGAATTGGCTGAGAACCATCAATGGTCTAAGTTTCCATTAAAGAAATAAGAGTAAATTTTAAAAAATCTACATATATGTTAATACATATGCGTATGTATATATAGATGTATATGTTTATCTCCAAGTCCCTATACTTCAAATATCAGGGATCTAGATTAGAGTCAGAAATATCAAGTCCCTTGTTAATTCATTTCTCACTCTTCATGGGAAAAATGCCTTTCTTCTGTTTGGGTAAAAATCATTGCTTTAGATCTATTGCAGCTTTGCATCAGTATGGAGAATGAATAGGAAGCTGCGGTTGAGGGCTTTTGTGGGAAGGAACATTGCCTTTCTGCTAATGAATTTCTTTTCTGTGATTTTTGTGGCTTTCTTGTATTTGGAGATAAGTCTCTGCAGTACCTACACTTGTGTACCATCCTTTAATTCAGTCTTGCATACAGATATATTGAAGTTTCTGGCTTGTATATAGCCTCTATGAATTTGTGGATATGCTGTAGAGATGTTAACCTATTAATATATTTTGCTGTTCATTTCACTAGGCATTTATAAGAGAGAAGGAATTCAATTTGTGTACTTGGATTACCAACTGTATTTAAAATCTTTCTCTCTCTTTTTTTTTGGCTGAAATTTTATCTCTGGTAATTTGGAAATTATATATATTATATATATATATATAATATATATAATATATATCCTATTTTTATATTATTAATGATTAAATTTAAACTGTTTGAAAACCATTCTTTAATAATTGCTTTGTTACTATCAATGCCGATAGGAAAATTCTAGTTTGTTTTGATTTCTATTTGTAAGCTGATGTATATTTTATGCTTTTCTTCTTCATTCCCACTTGTTATTGGGAATTTTGTTATTATAATTTGGGATTTTATACTCAGTTTCTTGGCACCATTTCTCCCCTTTATAAATTTTCTTTCATCTTCATATTTCAAACCATTGTTGAAACTTAATTGTGTTTGTGTGCATATATTATTTCAGTGTTCATTGTCAGTCTTTTCAGTGCTTCATTCTGAATCATCACTTTGTTGGCAGAGATACGTTTTGAGCTGTGCTTCTGGAATTTTAATGCACATATGAATCACCTAGGGATCTTGTTAAAATATAAACTTGGATTCAGTAGGTCTGGAGCAGAGCCCAAGAGCTTTCATTTGTAACGAATTCCCAGGTGATGTCAGTGCTTCTTGTCCATGGACCACACTTCAAGCACCAAGACTTTATAGCCTTTTTAATTTCAGGAAAAAGCTGTGTGTCTTATACTTTATGAGTCCTTCTATATCTAAAAATGTCTTTCTTTTGACGTCACACTTGAACAGCGAATGGCTTATTTGGGTATAAAGTTCCTGAGACACAAAATTTCCCTTTCAAGACTCAGAAGTTTTTTTTCCCATAATGTTTGATATATAGTGTTGCTCACATACCTCTCAGGGTGCTTGATGTTTTCCCTTCTTTGGTAAATAACCTATTTGTTCTGCCTGGCTACCCACAGAAGGTTTTATTTTTCCAAGAGTTTTACCAGGTTGTGTCCAGCTACCAGTCTCTTTTCATTTATTTTTCCTTGGTACATGGCAGTTGCTTGTGTTGTATAGATTCAGATACTTCTTTATTGTAGGAAACTTTTTCTTCTATTATATCGTTTACTGTTGGTTCTTGCCTCTTTGTTCTGGCCTCTTCTTTATGAACACCAGTTATTTCTGTCTGTCTTCTACTTTTATCATGTCCTTTCTAGTGACTTTCATCTCTTTTTTATTTTCCTTTGTATTTGAAAGCAGTTTTCAAGATCCTTGCTACTTAAATTTTTTTTTCTGATCTGTTTTCTAA